GACATGGCCACATTGTGTTGTTTATATAGAAACAAGAAAGTATGTAATTATGCATAGCAGCAACTCTATGTATTTTCTTAACTTTTCGTGCTTACTCATGCCTCTTCAGTGTTCCCTTAACTCAAAGATGTGGAGAGTGTTTAATTGTATAATAGGCATAGGTCAGTAATCAAATGCTTTTTGTCCTTATCTATTTCACAAAATAGGTATGGGGACAGAAGGTTTTTGTTTATGTTTCTAATGAGATTACTGTAACCTGGCGTTACTTACAAAAAATAATCTTTGTTAGGATTTTGTTTTTGGTTGGTTAGTTGGTTGATTGGTTGTTCTGGGTTTTTTTAAAGAAAAAAAATCACAACAACAAACCAAACACACACATTAAAAGCTGTTATAGATATAAACCTTGACCACAAAATCAAAATCCTTTGGGAGGAACATGCTTCGTGTTTAGCTGTTGTTTACAGCTACTGGCTCAAAGCAGTTATTCATTTTAAGAATAATGACTTTTATGAGGGTTTTTAAATAGCCCTCTCTCCTTGTTTTGATTGCATTCGGTACAGATTATACCAGCAAAGCAGAAATAATACATCTTTTGACCTCTTTCATTGACCTTATAAACTTATTAAGATCTCTTTTGTCAGGTTCATAATTACATTATTTGCATTGTCAACAGAATTATTTCCTGTACAATATTTAATGCTTGGGAAGCAACATGGATGAGTCAAGATCTTTACTGAAAGCAGTCTCTTTAATTCAAACCAAATGAGCAAAAATTGTACCGCCACTGACAGCCTATGTTTGACAATGAGCTGATAGGGTAATTTCTATACATTTATTTAGTAGTATGACACTTTCCACATTTCTGACATTATCAATATTGTTTTAACATGTTAGTATATGATACACGAAAATTCATACGCTTCATACATTCATATAAGATGAGAATTTGACTTTGTTTACTAACCTTAACCTGACTTTGGATTCTGCAACGTGCATAGTCTGATTCTCCGAGGACATTTCACCAGAAGCCAGGTTTAGGGCCTTGTTACATCTTATGCTGTGAACTGCACACATGTCAATGGCTGTTTGTAGTAGCTCAAGTCTGGAGCAGTCACACTTCAGGCCAGCAGGCCTGGAGGACTGAAAGGTAAGAATTCCTGCTCCTCCCCCCATGGGATTCTGGGCTTCTCTGTTTCCCTCTGGGGCTCCCCTGCTTTCCACCACTGCTGGGGCTCCCCCCCAGCTCAGGTTTCCTCCATACCCAGACATAATTACTTGTGGCTGCCTGCACTATTTGCCCCAGGGGAATGGGCAGAGATGGGTTAACCTACCTGCCCAGCCACTGCTGTTGGGGGTTGATGCTCTTCTGGCCCAGAAAGTAATAGCAGCAGCTACGGCTGGGCAGGGAATTTAACCCTTCTCTGCCTGCTCTCCAGGACAGACAGCATGGACAGCCACAATTAAGCAGGGGTCAGAATGAAGAGCAGTGGGCAGGGATCTGGGATACTGGGGATGGCAGGAAGGGGTGCAATGGGCCCAATCTGATCTGGGCCAGTGGGGTAGGGTTGCAATGGGGTGTTTCTACTAAGGTGTAGCCTAGTGTGGCTGCACCTTAGTGTAACTTGAGCTTCATAGCACAGATCAGAGATAATCCTGCCCTGGAGTGGCATAACTTTGAGCCACATAACAAGTGCTTAAACCAGTTTCAGTTGTTAATGTGCATAGAATCCAGGAATTAAGAGCTCCAGGAGCTCCACAAAAATACCATGTAACAAGGCCCTTAGTCAGCACTGCAAGTCCTGTCTGCTCTAACTCCTTTCTTTTATGCCACTCCTTCAGGCCTGGCATTGGCTGCAAGAACACCAGAGTGAGGCCAACCCAACCCAGCAACAATCTTTAAACTCATCTTCAGCGGGAGCTTATCAGTCCTTGTCATCACACACCCTCCTCCTTGAGACTCCTTCCCTTCCTAGATATATTCTCCCACTCCTATGGGAAAAAATCTACACTTTCCAGCCCTAAAATGGATTTGGAAAGAAAAGGGTTGCAAGGCTAGGTTGAAGAATTTAGGGATTAATCTAATTTATGGTCTGTAACCATAGTAGGGATGCATGATCCATGATCAATATGAAGTCCCTGCCCAGTAGTTAATATCTGAGGTCCTCCACTGCCCATTTTACTGCCTGTCCTTCTTTCTCAATGACAGAGTAATTCTTCTCTCTTTGGAATAGCTTCTGATTCAAATAAAGGATGGGGTGTTCCTCCCCATTCACCATTTAGAACAACACTGCACTCAACCCCACACTGGAAACACTGGTCTAAAGTATAAACTCCTTTGAAAAGTCCCAATTATACAGGACTGGTTCCTGGCATAGGAAATCCTTCAACATTTGGAATACTTATGTGCATTATCTGATCCACTGTACCTTCTGTGGGTGGTCGCCTTTCAGAAGGTCTGTGAAAGTGCCTGCAATTGATAACAATGCTAGTATAAACCATTGGTAATACCTGACCAAGCCTACAAACCAGTGTACCTGGGTGTTGGTGTTTGGTGTTAGGAACCTCTTTGGGGCCTGGACTTTGTCCACCAGTGGCTATATTTGACTGTTCCCCAAGGCGCACCCCATGTATGTGTTTTTAGCCTTACCCATGTGGCACTTGGACAGGTTTGTGGTGAGATCTGCTTCCTAGAGTGACTACAACACCACAGCTACATGGTCCAGGTGCTCTGCCCATATCTATCTGTAGTCCAAATATTCTGTTGCACCCTCCTGATTGGGCTGCAGGACCTGGTCCATCAGCCTCTGGAATTTGGCCAGAGCCCCATGCAACCCAATGGGCATTGTCTAGTATGGGTATAGATCCCAGTGTTAATGGAATTTACCATACCCTTTCATAAGCTAGAGGCTTGTAATATTCCAGATATCTCCTAGCTCATTGACCCACAGCATAGGGTATGCATCAAATTTTGAGATTGCATTGAACTTCAGAAAGTCAATGCAGAACCACAGTACCATCCCATTTTGGGAATACCAGAACTGGATTTCTCCAGTCACTGTGTGATTTTTCAATAATCCCAAGGTCCAGCATGGACTGTAGCTCCTGCTTCTCCTTCTTTCTCATTCAGTGAGGAAGGCAATGGGGCTTTTCCATGACCCCACTTCCTGATTTCATTTGGATCTGGTGGGCCGTAAGGTTGGTTCTTCCTGGAAGTGATGAAAACATTCCAGGGAACAAGTGGACCAGTCTTCAGGCTTGCTTCAGTCCTTCTCAAGTGAGGTCTCTCCCAAACAGCACTGTTTCTGTCTTGACTGTCAGACTTGCCTGTGGACCTAGCTCTGCTTTGGGAGTATAAGGGATATTAAGAGGCACTCCTGAGCCTTCCATGGTTTCAGGAGGTTGACATGATTGATTTGCTGGAGACTCTGCCAGTCCAGTTTCTTGATTTCATAGTCACTGGGCCAAACCTGCCAGATTATCTTGTATGGTGTCTGCCACTGAGCAATCAGTTTCGATTTGGATGATGGCAGTAGTAGGAGAACCCAATCCTCAAGGTTGAATTCATGAAGATGCACATTTTTATTGTACTATGCCACCAGTGTGTTAGGCCCATCATAGCTTTTTAATGGGCAAATTCACCTAGTGATTTACGTTTCTCCTGAAAGTTCAATATATAGAAGACCACATTATTGTCTTGCTGGAGTTGTTCTTCCCATATTTCCTATAAAAGATCCAGGATTCACTGAGGTTGTGGCAGTAGAGCAGCTCAAATGTTGATGCCTTGGCTACCCCCTGGACTGCAAATAGCAGAGTTGGAAGCAACTGTTCCCAGTGGCAGGCATCCATGGCTACACATTTTGTTAACATTTCTGTAAAGGTTTTATTGAAGCATTCTGTAAAACCATCAGTTTGGGGGTGGCAGACAGAAGATCTTACCAATTTAATTTTGTATAGCTTATACATCTGCTTTATGGTCTGGGCTATGAACACTGGTTCTTTGGTTACTAATAATTTTTCAGGGCCCACCTGCAAGAACACCTTCATGAGCTCATGAGGCTATGACTTTGGCTGTAATCAACTGAAAGGGTACAGTTTTGAGATAGCACATAGCAGAGTTGGCAATTACCAATATGTATTTATAGCCAGCTTCACAGGAGTCAATCACATTGATCCCAATCTGCTCAAAGGGAACATCCACTAATGGCAAATGGTTCAGAAGTGTTGACTGGGCTCTGTGTGGGGTGATAAGCTTACAATCTTGGCAGGAAATGCAAAAGTCCAGTGCATCTTTATAGATGCCTGGCCATAAAATAATCAGTCCAGGATGTGGCTCAGGGTCTTTTTCCTTTCCCAGATGCCCTGAACATGGGACAGAGTGGGAAAAGCACATGATCTCTTGCAAGTAGGGTTTTAGAACCAGGATCTGGATTTCCCCAGTCTTTTTCCAGCTAATAGAGCTTCTTCCCCTGCAATTCAAAGTGAGCAAAAAATGTGACTTCTTATGGGTTAGCTACTTCCCCATTGACACTGCCCAGCTGAGTGTTTTGTCTGCTTTTTGCTCAGTCACAAAGTGGGGTGCCTTGGCTAGAAGCTTTGACCCCTGTACAAAAAGGATCCCTTCTTCCACCTGTTATTATACTTCCTACAGGGGTTCCCTGGATACAGAGGGCCCTTCTCCAGGAGTGTCCTGTGCTAGAGGAGTCCCAGTTTCTTCCTGGGTCTGCATGTCCTCAGTGGTCTCTTGGGGTCACTCCCCTGAACTCATGGCCTCCCCTACCTCCATGAAGACTATCTACTGCCTGACTGGGGGGTTGGGCCCTGAATTGTGGCTTGCCCAGTTTGCTTAAGGGAAGCCACAGCCCTTTTAAGAGTTCCATGAAGCCTTCCTAATCTCAGCTGTAGATAACATGATAGGCTAATAAGTCTGCCAGGCCTACCAAGCTTGCCTTTGGGTAACTTCCCACAGATAACTGTACCCAGGCCTAGGAATAAGGCAATAAGGTCTTACCTTGGTCCTGGGGAAGCTTTTTGAGAGAATTATTCTGGTGCATGTCTACGAGGGGCCAACAAGGGAGTCTATGCTCAGGGCAATGAACATGGGTTCATTAGGGGCAAGTCTTGTCAGACCAACCTGGTGACCTATTATGACCAGGTCACCAAATCCTTAGATGCAGGTGTTGCAGTGGATATAGTCTTTCTGGACTTTAGGCAGGCCTTCAACACTGTCTCTCACCCCATTCTCATAAAAAAATTAGGAGATTGTGGTGTTGATACCTACACAGTCAGATGGGTCACTAACTGGCTGGTGGACTGCACCCAGAGAGTGGTGGTAGATGGGTCTTATTCGACTTGGAGGGATATGGGCAGTGAGGTTTTGCAAGGCTCTGTCCTTGGGCCCGCACTGTTCAACATCTTCATCAGCAACTTGGATGAGGGGGTAAAAAGCACCCTGTTCAAATTCACAGATGACACCAAGTTATAAGGAAAAGTAGGCATGCTTGAAGGAAGGAATAGGCTGCAATCAGATCTAGACAGGTTACAGGGGTGGGAGGATGAGAACAGGATGGGATTCAACACTGACAAGTGCAGGGTAATGCACCTGGGAAGGAAGAACCAGCAGGTACCTACAGGCTGGAGAACTCCTCTCTCATCAGTGCAGAGGCAGAAAAGGATCTTGGAGTCATCTTTGATGCCAAAATGAACATGGGCCAACAGTGTGGGGACGTGGTCAGGAAGGCCAACTGTACCTTGTCATGCATCCAGAGATGCATCTCAGGCAGGTCCAAGGAGGTGATACTCCCCCTCTATGCGACACTGATCAGGCTGCAGCTGGAGTACTGCGTCCAGTTCTGGGTGCCACACTTCAGGAGGGATGTGGACAGCATGGAAAGAGTCCAAAGGAGGGCCACCCACATGATCAGGGGTCAGCAGGGAAAGCCCTTACGAGGAGAGACTGAGGGACCTGAACCTGTTCAGCAAGAGGAGGCTGAGGGGGGACATGGTGGCTGCCTACAAACTCATCAAGGGAGATCAACAGCAAGTAAGTAGAGCCCTTTTCTCCCCAGCACCACCTGGGGTGACAAGGAACAATGTTAATCTGATGGAGAATAGGTTTAGGTTAGAGATCAGAGGGTCCAAAGGAGGGCCACCCACATGATCAGGGGTCAGCAAGGCAGGCCTTACAAGGAGAGGCTATGGAACCTGAACCTGTTCAGCCTCCACAAGAGAAGGCTGAGGGGGGATCTAGTGGCAGCTTACAAACTAGTCCAGGGGGACCAGCAGGCATTGGGATAGTCCCTGTTTCCCTGAGCGCTCCCAGGAGTGACTAGAAACAACAGATACAAGCTAGCGGAGAGTAGATTCAGGCTAAACATTAGGAGGCGCTACTTCATTGTCAGGGTGGCTAGGATCTGGAACCAACTTCCAAGAGAAGTAGTCCTGGCTCATCCCCCACGCGTCTTTCCAAGAAGCCTACATGAACACCTGGCCGGGGTCATTTGACCCAGTGTCCTTTCCTGCCACGGCAGGGGGTCAGACTTGATGAACTACTCAGGTCCTTTCCGACCCTACCAACTATGAAACTATGAAGTTTCTCCCCTGCCCTGTCCAAATCCCCTTTGTAGCATGCCCACATTCTCGACCAAAATTGCAATGGGGAACCAAGACAGCTCCCATGCAACAGTATGCCCAGGCACCCAGACTAACCTAGAAATCTGCATAGTCTGGTTCTCAGAGGAGATCTGATCAGGAGCCAGGCTTAGTCAGCACTGAGAGTCCTCTCTGCTCTGACCCTGACCCACTCCTGCAGGTCTGGCATTGGCCAGCCCAGCAACTCTTTTTAACTCCTATCTTACTAGGAACTACCCAGTCCACACCATCACAGTACATATAGATTTTCTACTTGCTCCATAAAAAATGTGCTCGCTCCTGCTAATTAGCAAGTAATATTATTTTACAGAATATAATACTATCTATGGCAGAGGTGGGCAACATTTTTTGGCTGGAGTGCCCAAAAACCCACAAGGTCTACCTTGTAAGGTGCCAGAGTGCCAGCACACCACAAAAACAAAACTTAGGGTATATGGCAGGATGCACTGCATATTTAATACAGTTAATAATCATAAATGTTAATAATTCTTTTACAGTAAATGCTAGGTTTTCTAAAAAATTCTTAACCTGGTGACAATAAATAAAACTTCATGTACTGCCTTTGTACTTGTGAATTTTTTTCTTATTAAGCAAGTTGTGATGAGAGGGGGAAGAGAGGAGCAGGGAGCAGCAGGCATTAAGGTAGTCATCACAGGCAGGCTGGCCTGGCCAGGCCCTTGGGAAGGCTGCAGGCAGAGCAGACTGGGGGTCAGGTGGGGCCCCAGGTGCTGCAGGGCTCTGCAGACTCAGAGCATAGTGGATGGGGGCGTGGTCCCAGCAGCACCAGAGTTGGGGCCCAGCTGGCCTGCACAGCTCCTCAGGGGTGGGGTGCAGCCACTCTTCCCATGGAGGGATTCTGTCTGGCTGAGGCAGGACTCTGGGCTCAAGGTGCTACCTGCTTGACCTCTCTGCATGGCAGGTACAGTGAGAGTGGGAGCTGCAGTGTTTCCCAGGGAGCAGCCACCGCAGCCGGTGCTCAGGGCCAAGATGGCTGGGTGCCTGCAGTGCAGAGGCTCTGTGCAGTGCCTGTCCTAGCCCCAGCCCCTTGAGAGGGATGGGCAAGGCTGGGGCCCAGGCAGCCTGGGGCAGTTGTGGTGGCTCTTCCCAGGGTCCAGAGGGCTCCCACAACCAGGCCCTTGCACCGGGGATGGCTCTACCCTGCTTGCACTGTGCCCAGCATGCAAGGAGGCTGATCCATGAACTGGAAGCCCCCTGAGCCTAGCACCCTTCCCCAGCCAGGCAGCATTCCTTCATATGCAGCACCTGCCAGGGCCCTGTCCACCTGCAGCTCCCTCCAGGGGCCAGCCAGGCTGGAGGGTGCTGCCTGGAAGCAAGGGGCGGGAGCAGTAAAACACAGACAGCATCCCTGCCTGTGTTTTCCTGGCTCTGCCCCAATGCCTGCCACAGATTTAGGACTTGTGGCTGCAATTTTTTTAACAATTTCCTTGCATGCTTCCCAGCATGCCAAGAAAAATGTCTCCACATGTCACTAATGGCATGTATGCCTGCGGTTGCCAACCCCTGATCTATAGCTATTTTCCCTAACAATATTTTGTCCATCTTGAATTTTTTATGCAAAGGGAGTAGAAATATCATAGATAATTGAAACTGACAATTTTTGGGGGGGAGCTCTTTCTCATGTCCTGATAATTATTGGTCCATAAACTGTAGAGGTAACAAGATGAGTTCAAGAGATTGATTTTTCTAACAACTGAAGAGGAAAGCAACTTTGTTGTCCTCAGCTCATTATGTTCTGCCAGACTCTTGTCAATTTCACAAGATTTGACAATAGTTTCTGTGACCAAAAATGTCATCATTAAGTGAGAAAAATGAGCGCAAAGTCACTTTGTCATCTTTGTCTTATAAATAATTTGTGAACATGCAAGTTTTCATGAGTTCTAGGTTGAGATGAGATTTCTTATCTCAGAACTCTGAAAACCATTATTAACAGCTCCCTGAAAGAGAAAGAATAAAAGAAGTTTTTTAGACATTTATTCTAAAAATATTTTTTAAAACATAAAAGTAAACAACCTCATAATTGCCTAGCCAAGAAAGCATCAGAAAATCATACATAAATCTGCCCATCCAATTTACATCATAAGGAGAGAATGAACACCCTCATCCTCACCAAAAGGTCACACTTTTAGGACTAGATAGCCATAGGGAGGAAGGAAGGAAGGACTTTTGTCTCTGCTTGGTAAGCGGCCAACCTTTTTGTATCTCTGAACCCCTAAATAAAGTAGTTAAAAAGAGATACAAAAAGGTTGGCCACTTACCAAGCAGAGACAAACCAAAACACACCATGTTATTGCGTTCATCTCATCACACCATGAGAGACACCTTTGCTATATTTCTCCTCGTATCTTACATGTTATTAGGCGATCAGAACGCCGGCCACACAGTCATATCTATAAATAAATTATTTCTACCCTGCTCTATCTAGTCATACACATGACAACACCTTCAGTTTCCCACACAAAAAAGAAAACAAAAAAGTAGCCAGGTGAGGGCCCAGGGTGTGGCACAAGCTGAAAGTCGTAGTCTGACACCAAGCCTGCCCAGTCGCCCAGACCAGTCATGACATCAGGGCACATATTTGAGATGGCCATCCTCCACATGGCACAATGCTCCCTCAAGGGCCTAGTGTATCTCAAAGGCGGGCACCACCCACCGGAGCACAGCGTACTGAAACTCCAGCAAGAGGTGTGCCTGCACCATGAGGTGGAAAAACCTCAGGCTTCTCAGCCGGTCCCGGCAAGCTGGTTTCAGCAGCTCCTGAGGATGGCCATCTTGGCCTGACCCAGTAAAAAGTTGGCAAGGCAGATGGGGCCATTCTTAGTTGCCCAGTATGGATAGAAGCACACGTAGGTGGTCTCCGAGAGGCTCCTGCCCAGCGCTTGCAGCAGCAGCTCAAGGGTGACAAAGAGCTGCCACAGGTGGAGACAGTTGAGGAAGGCATGAAAGAGGGTCTCCTCAACACCCCCCAGGCAGAAGAGCCAGGCCATAGAGGCAGCTGGGTCGAAGTGGGACACAAACGTGCCAGGGGCTAGGATGCCATGCAGCAACCGCCACTTCAGGTCACCAGTCTTCTTGGCAGTTGGTGACTTATACCATGTGTACCACGCTGGGTGGGCTGGTGGGGAATCTGGAGGCCCCAGGCGCCATCGCCACAGTGTATTGGGGTGGCCCACCATCAGCTGGGCATGGCAGACATGTACTGCCCAGGCATATAGGCTTCTACATGACGGAAAAGCAAAGGGGCAACCCGTGTCACTGTCAGGAGGCACAGGGAGTGTCAGCAGGGTGCCAGGTACACCAGCCAGCTTTCCAGCCACAGCCGGGGTGGCTAGCATCATGAGAAAAACCTCGCTGAGGACATCTGTGGCACAGGGGACCTGGCCTGCCCAGAGATGGCTGTCCAGGGTGGCTGTCACCTCCAATGGGAAGGCAACCTGGATGTCACACAGGAGATGGCCCATGCTGTGGATGGAGCGCATGCCCAGCTGGGTGGTCAAGGCCTCAGGTGAGAGCAATGCTGACCAAGCGGGGTCAAGGAGATGGCTCAGGCAGAGGACATGCGCCTGGATGAGAATGGCTATGTGGCTGGCAGAGGCCAGGTTTGGCATGGGGCACCTCAGAGCTGGGTTGTGCACCAGGGGTTCCCTCAGCAGCTGCGGGCTGGAGGCAGAAGGTGGCCTACAAGGCTCGTACCATGCTGTGGTAGAAAGCTGGAAGCACCGCCCAGTTCAGAAGTGCAAGGTCCAACAGGAAGAGCTCCCAGTCAAAGCCGAGGGCCCCCACCCTCTGCAGGAACCGGCACACCATTTCTTGCCAAGGTAGATGCTTCTCGCCATGCAGGAGTCATTGAAGGGCCTGCTGGCAGAAGGAGGCCACCTTGCTCACAAGGTCAACCAAACTCTGGCCCCCCTCAGCTACAGGTAGTTAAAAGACAGCTCGTGGGAGCCAGTGGTACCCAACCCCCAAAAAATCAACCAGGGGGCGCTGGAATCTTTTGAGTAGGTCTGATGGCATATTGAGTATGCCGGTGCCACAAGGTCACCACCGCCAGGTTATTCGCAATGAGGACACATCCACAGTAAGAGATACTGGGTAGGTCCAAGTGCCACTGTTGTAGGTGGGCATCTACCCCTTACTCGAGGCCATCCCAGTTGCACACCATGAAGATTGATGGCCCTAGGAACATGCCCAGGACTTTAAGGTCCTCACAGTGCCAAGTGAGACCCCCTGACAAATCTGGGGGGGGGCACACTGATCCACGCACCAAGAAGCAGGGTATCACTCTTGGCCCAGTTGATACAGGCTGAGGAGATGCATTCATAGGCTCAGCAGCAGTCTGTCAGGGCCTCCACATCTTCCTGGGTGTTGAGGAAGATAGTCATGTCATCTGAATATGCTGATAGCTGGAGCGGAGGGGCAATGGACAGGCCCATGGCCGATGGCAAGGCCATGCAACTCGGACAGTGCTGCAGTGCATGCAGCAGTGGCTCAATGGCCAGGGCATACAGCATGCCCAACAGGAGGCAACCCTGATGGATGCCTCTGCATGTGGGAAATGGGGCACAGAACACCCTGTTCACCTGGAGTAGACTGGAAGTGTCAAATCAAATACAAGACCCGGAGGGCCCCGGCAAAAAGGGCCCCAAAGCCAAAGGCCTCCAGGATCTGAAAGAGGTAGGCATGGTCCACCTGGTTGAAGGCTTTCTCCTGATCTAGAGAGATGAGACCAATATCTAGGCTGAAGAGTTCACTGGCTGTAAGTCGTGCGGCAGAAACAGGTTGTCTTAGATGGTTCTGCCCGGCATGCAGTAGCTCTGCTCAGGCCCAATGATGGAGCCCATCATGGTGTGGAGGTGGGTCACCAGTGCTTGCCCAGAATCGTGTAGTCCGTGCACAGCAGGGAGACTGGCCACCAGTTCTTAATGCAGCCAAGGTCTCCTTTCTTGGGCAGCAGCGTGAGCACTGCACAGCAGCCACTTATCAGCAAGACCTTGTCAGCAAGGCTCTCCTGGAAAAAGCGTAGGAGACAGGGGCCAAGAAGAGGCCATAAAGTCTTGTAAAACTCAGCAGATAACCCATCGAGGCCTAGGGCTTTGCCGGAGGCAAGGCTAGCTGTGGCAGCTGCCAGCTCCACCAGAGACAATTCCTGCTTAAGCTCACTGGCCTCCAGGGCACAAAGGTGTGGCAGGCCCGCATGGAGTTCCCGCATGGTCTCAGGGCAGGATGGCTCAGCCGCAAACAGGTCACAATAAAAGGTGATGGCGTGCTCATGTGCTTCACATGGGTCAGTGATTACCCGGCTGCAGGGGTCTTGATGTGATCTAAGACTTTGCTTGCTGCCTGCTGTCACTCCAGGTTGAAGAAGAAGCAGGTTGGGGCATCTGTTTCAGCTAGCTTTTGGCAGTGGGCGCAGATCCCCACTCCACAGGCTGTGCTTTCCGCCAAGTCATGCAGACATTTCCTGCAGAACCAGAGGCACTCATGCAGCACCGCATCACTGCCGGCAGCCAGCATGGCAGCCTTGAGCTCTACCACACCTTCCTCTAGCACTCTGATATGATGGCACAGTTTATTTGTGGCCAGCTGGGTGCTGGCAAAAAACCCAGATCTGTACCTTGCTCACGTCCCACCATAGCTTCCAGGAGGAGTAATTCAGTCTTTTGGCCTCCCAGCCCGGCCAAAAGTTGGTGAAGCAGTCCCAGAAGTAAAAGTTTTGAAGCAGGCTAATGTTGAAGCCCCAATAGAGTGCTAGCACGCCGGTTATCCCTGGCAGGCTCAATTCACAGCAAGCCATGCCATGATCTGACAGGCCTGAGGGAATGATGCAGCCACTGCATAGGAGTGGCAATTGGTCTCTGGTGACATAAAGGTGGTTGAGGCGGGCCATAGTGAGGCCACTGGCATTCATCCTGACGGAGACTGGGAGGAGAGTGAACACCAGAAGGAAGAAAC